ATGGATAACGCCATTTCACTGTCCACTTCTCAGAGGACCCAAATTTTCTATCATCACAATGTGAATACAGCCAGAGGCAGTTACCACACATTAAATCACCTTCAAAGTTTGAAGGACTGGAAATAGAAACATCACTAAACTCATCTTTACTTCTTGTTTTACTAAATGTGAAGAGAATCTCCCTGCTTTATTTAATGCTTATTTGGAAGAATAAGTACAGTGGTGTCTTGAGTCAAAATCTCAATTCTCACCACGATTCTGGTAGCAACACAAATTGAATGAGATCAACACTGAACACAACCATTGAATTTGATTCAGTTCTCATCCAACTTAATTTGCAATCAGAATCATGGAATCAAGTTCATGAAGCGAGATAGGACTGTGCTACAGTTGAAGATTGAAATATCAACCTGCCTATAGGAAAAATTTTCCCATAATTTTGTGAGGATGTTTTCCCTGTAAGGAATTTTTTTAAAAATAGCAGAATTTCAAAGATTAAAGTCATAGACATTAAATAAGTACAAGTTATAATTGTTCAGGCAATAAGAGGCAGCACTATATGCTTGTCAGCAAATCCTAGTGACAAGAATGTTTTGATTCACCACAATCAAGATGAAATGACATCATCAATAGTAATAAGACCTTCATTTCGGGTTTTGGCAGGAAAATTGTCAGTGATCAAGAGCCATTGCCTCTGATGTAATGCCTTGGGTGAAAACCAGTCGAGATTAATCTTGCCTTGAATAGATATATTAGAGGGATAAGCGAAAAAGTACAAGTGAAAGAGCTCATGGGCAGGGAACGTTTCCAGCTCGACACATTTGCTTGTTCAGAGGACACTTTGGAGCCCCACTTAAACTTCATGACTTTCCTATATGAAGAATACAAACCATACATATGGCAAAGCCACTGCTGCTAAGTTGCAGTGCCAAACCCCACACACTTCTAGCCACATCCACTCCAAGAGAAGACTCTTAACCAAGCAAATAGCTTAGGTTGGCCCAAGAGAAGAGCTAGAGAAATGGTTAAAATATCATCCCTGTGTCTTTTCCTTGTCCTCCTTCCTTAGCCATTTAAAACACACAAACAAACAAGCAAGCAAAAGTTAAGGACAACAAAAGCTAAACAGATGGTGATAAAATTCAAACACACCTTGGGGAGAATGCCTGGCTTGAATTTTGGAAGCTACCACTTAAGCAATCTTATTTAACTGACTGAATAAAACTTAAACTCTATTGGATTAATTTGTCGTGTGGCAGAGAAGAAAAACTATCACTCTGCTGCACAATCGGTTCATGAGAGCAGGATTCAAGTGCCAAAGCACCAGCCATCACTAAATTCATCCAGGAAATTTCCCACAGTAATTAGCACTTGGCCTGGAAGGTGTAATGGGTGGAAAGCAAACAGGTGTTTTATCTGGAAATTGAAGGATTTGAACAAATTCAAAGAGTCAGGGAATTTGGTAACAATTCAGTGATTGCATGGGGATAAGGTATAATCAAGAGACAAGAGCAGAATGGAACATTTGCTTCACAATTATTAATTTTTATTTTTATTAATTTTTATTTCATAAACTTCACAATTATTAATTTTTATTTTTATTAATTTTTATTTCATAAACTTCACAATTATTAATTTTTAACAAATATTATCATATGCAATTTGATTTAATATGTATGACTGAGGCAAGTGATGGCATTTGTTTCATTATAAGGAAAGCAGATTCCAAGGAATTAAATAGCTACTTCAAGATCTCCCAACTAGAAGGTTGACAAGCTAGAGATGAAAAAAAAATATATATATATATATATCTCAAATAGTTAAATTTGCTTCACCCAAACTCCTTGAAATGAAGAGTGTAGAATTAAAACCAGAAAACAAATTCTGGGCAACAGAATAGCGATCTGCTTCTCCAGAAAAAGACAATGAACTTCATCCTACAGGCAAAGGGACCTCAGAGCTTTTGAGAGCTTCAGGAATGATATTCAGAGTAGTCTGTGACTCTGATGGAGAGCAGGTGATGCGTTGAGTGTGCAATTCTGGTCTTCAAGTGCAGGGGTCTTCAAAACCACAGCGCCCTCCATTCTTCTCCTTCCCTCATCCCGCTCTTTCTACTCTCCTGGGACAATGGAACCTGCAGAAGCGTCATGAAGAACCCAGTCCACACGTGCTTTTCATTTCTTCAGGATTATTTTTTGGTCTTCAATTAGGCAAAGAGTACTTTGAACAATGCTGTCATAGTCTTCCACCTGCTTCATTTTTGGAGGCTTTCTGTTGCAAGTTAAAAGTTCTAAACAGTATGTTATAGACTAGCAACTTCTGGGGTCTACATTTTCTGCCCCTTAAACCTTTTGAAGCACAGTTGTACAAATAAGTAGATAAATCCATGCTCCCCGCCACAGTTTTCATAATCGCCAAGAAGTGGGAAAATCTCACAAGTCCATTAGTGATGAAAGGGCAGAGAAAATGTGTAATACATGTATAATGAAATATAATTCATCCTTAAAGAGGGAAAAAAATTCTGCTCCATGCTACAACATAGATGAACCTGGAGAACATCATGCTAAGTGACATAAACTGGTCACAAAGAGACAAACAGTACATCATTCCACTCCTGTGAAGCATCTCAAGGGGGCAAATCGAAAGAAACAGGAACCCCAGAGTGGTTGTCAAAGGCTGCAGGAAAGGAATGGAAGTTGTTTTCAGTGCATACTGAGTTTCAGTTTTGCTTTGACTTTCAGTGTTTAGCACTCTCCTTGGATCCAGGAAAGCACTTGGTGGTTTCCTTAGGAGTGAGAAGAGCAGGGGCTGGACCCCGGGCTCTGCCGGAGGTTAACAACCACTGTGTTTACGGACAAGACCCCGCAAACCTCTGCACTCCTATTTGCTTTATTGCTTTTTTCCTCGCGCCAGACCCTGAGCCTAAATGCAGACATGATGGATGCTCTTGTCACATCCAGTGCTGATAACTGTCACACTTCCCCTCCCATTCACACTATAATTTCCTTCCGGAGGGTTTGCTTGCCACTGCCTCAGTTTGGAGAGAGCCATTCTTGTCAAACTTAGGGGAAAACACAGAGAAGAAATATGGATTTGAGAGTCTGGTTTAAATGAAGAGGTAGCACTTTGCCCGGACATTAAATTAGAGGCCATGACTCAGCCTTTAGGTTCATGCTAGTTACGAGCTTTCACTTAAGAAGTAAGATGTAAAAGAAGCACAAGAGTCTGATATTTCCCAAAGGTGTGCAGGATAAATCATTTGGTGCTCCTAGGAGAAATAAATAGCATAAAAATACACTTTCTTTCACAGAAGGCCAAATGCCTTGGGTGCCAGAGGCCCCTGGAATCATTAATGACATGGGATGTGCTCTGCAGAGGACTGTGTGAGCTATGTGTTCTGTTAGGGCCAATCACGGAGCGAAAGGGAACTTCATGAAAGGCATAATTGATGGGATCAAATCTAACACCATGTCTTGGAGGCAGATCGATTGATCTTGCTGAAAAATGAAAGACTGCTCTGACAGTCAGTATCAAGCTGACAAAATAAAGAAAACAAAGACAAGTTGGATTCTCCTTCTGAGACATGCGAAAGCAGCTAACCGAGTGATGCCCAACGTTAACAAGCCTTTATGATTTGATGCTGAGCTACTACCATAAACAAGTTAAGGAGGCCGGCAGTTTGGAGGCCATCCCAAATCTGTAAGAGCAGAGGAGATCCTGTTTTAAAAGATCAACATACCTGTTGATTCTGGGGGCAAAGTCAGCTTTCAGGCAGCTGAAGCAGGAGCCATTGAACTCTTCAAATGGGGAATTTCAAAAACTCCAGAGTCTGCTCAGATTAGCTTCACCGAGTACCATGTCAATCCCTTTGGAAAAACAAAATTAAGCTGCAAACATAAACCAAGAAAAAAGTTTCTATGAGCTAATCTATATTTCTTTTTACATCCATTGGTCAGTTTCCTAGAACTATACAGATTTTAATTCAATATGGGCATAAAATGGTAACTTGAAAGTTAAACTCTTAGCAGGGAAAGAAGATTTTGTTTTACCTTTTCTTTGTCCCTAGAACATTGTTACACAATTCAAGTTAGGGATCCCATCTAAAATCCAGGCAGCAATTTTACTCCCACTGTCTTTAAAAAGTTCACAGTAGGCTGCAATCATAAATGTCATTTTCATTAGAACAATGCACAAGTTTACATGCTACAGAGAATATGATAAGTCTCAGCTGTTGTTTACCATTTTTTAAATTTCTCAGTGTACAAAGCTTTTTGTCAGCTCCTAGGGCTACAATATCTCACAAGTAAGCCAAATCCAATACATAGGGTTATATGTATTTTTTTAAACAGCCCAATTCTAAACATTATCCTGAGAACCCACATGTACATTTGTAGGACACTTTGAGCCAAGCAATAAAGAACAGAAAGGACTCTCATCAGAACATGCTCGGTTACTTAAAATCCGTAGAAAAGTCTATCTTAGAAAGACAAAGGAAGAGAGAGAGTGCATTTATGAGGACTTCTGACCCATTTGAGATATCGTATAAGTTGGATTTATTGTTTATCATTTAAGAAAATAAATATGCCATATGAGGATTCCAGGGCATAAAATAACTTTCTTCAGCAGAACCAAAGGCAGCGAACTGTGCTCAGGGGTATCATGATGGTACTGAGAAGCTGAACTTCATAAATCAGTGAATATCATCCTCTTACCCATTTACATGCCACTTTTTTGAGAAACACTTAAGTGATTTAAGTGATAACCCTAAAGATTTTAAGAGAAACGATAGAGATGGTGAAAAAATAAAATGTGGAAATATCATCAGAGCACAGGGAGGACCCTGCAACAGACAGCTAATGTGCATTTGGATGCTTCCATCTCTAAGTTTTTGTGCAGGCCACATTTCTCTCTGAATCTCTGTCCCCAAGCGCTCTAAGCACCCTTCTGCTTACTTTTTGGGAAGTAAACAACTTGCAACTTTATTGGGAAGTCAGCTCATCTGTCACCTTCTCAGAGTCCCATTTTATGCTCTCTCTAGTAGGAGAGAACACAGCTCCCCTGACCCAACTGTACATGCCAACTTGCCTGGTCCATGGTGCTCAGCTGTTCGGTCAAACATCAGTGCAGTTGTGGCCGAGGTTTCCTGTAGAGGTGATGCACAGTTGACTTTGAAGAGAAGCCTCAGTAATGAGGGCAGGCCTCATCCAATCAGTTCAAGGCTTTAAGAGCAAAAACAAAGGTTTCAAAGAAGAAAAAAAGGAAATAATTTTTTTACCTCAAGACTACCATAGAGAAATGCTGCTTGGGTTTTCAGCCTACCTGGTCTATCCTATAGATGATAGATTGCTCCCACACTCACAGTGACATGAATGAATCTCTTAACCCTCCTTTCTATATTCTGAGTCCTCCAAAACTGGATGCTGAGGAAAAGAAAGAGCTGTATAAATATTTTAATACTAAACTTACTGAGACATCATGGGGTAAATACAAGTTACCTTTGGTCTCCACAATAACAAGATGTGCTCAAGGTTGTGACCATGAGTCATTTGTTAGTATGAGGAACTGCTGAGATTCATACATAAAAACACACTATATATAATGTATATATATATATATATATATATAGTTACGTTTTCCGGAGAATTCTTCTGACTGTTACACCCTCTTTCTACTTCCTGCCCTCTGCTTCATCGTTCTTCATCAAAACTGTTAACACCATGTCTAATGCATATGTATTTGTTTATTTTCAGTAATATTCCAAGCAATAACTGAAATTTAGCAGGCATCAGCGCACATGCATTTAGGGTTCCATGGAACAGCCCTGATTTAAACCAAGCACTGTTTCAGGTGTCCGACAGAGATGCATTTCCTCACCCCTACCAACCAGCCATGAAAGCTTTCAGATGCTGTTTTGCTCCATATGTGGTGAAATTGGGTCATAGCGAGAAGAAGTCACACGACTTTTTGAGGCAAGGTGGAGCTGGTCATTGAAACCATGAAAGTGGGCTCTGAAATCCAAACCCCATCTCCCAGACTGCAGCCTTGCCTCACCATTTGCAGAGAGAATCTTCTTTTCCAAGACAGAAAACTTAGTCATCTCACCATATGACTAAAGTCCTCTCTAAGTCTGTGATCTTGGGTTCCATGGGATCTGGAGGCCTTCTTTGGAAGCAAGAGTTTTAATTTTAAAAAGGAAAAAAAAGATTTATGAGGGAAAAATGAATATCCAGTGTCCCATGGATTTTAGTAAAAATGGATTCTTAGGAAGTCATGTACAGCAAACCTGATCCATCACAAAGACTCTAAAAGGGAACACAGCTGAAAGATCATGGGAGACATTCAGAAATGAAACTAGATTTCTATCATCATAAATTATCCTAGTGAGGAAGAAAATAAAAATGAGTGAAATAAACCAAAAAGTGGGCAGAGACACAGAATGATCCTCTAGTGAGTCCAGTAAGAAGCCTGGCAGAAATGCTGGCCACTATTACAATTTCCCTCAGACCATAACGTCCACTGGGTCCTACAGCCCAGCTCCTGGCTGAGTCTCCAAGCCTACTGAAAAGCTTAGTAGAGTTTCTGGGACTCTGGCCCCACCTAGAGGCCAACAGTAAACAAAATAAGTGTAAAATGCTAAGCCATAGCAGAACTATGTATGGCAACATTAAGCAAACATTGCTGTTGTCCTCACTGATCAAACAGCTTTGAAGTGTTTGGGAGCATTTCCCAAAGCCAATGACGATGACTGGGTGAGCATGGGGCTAATAAGGGTGTCAGCCAGCTTTCCCCTGGGATACTGGCTTTTGGTCCCAGCAGTGCTTTGGACAGATGATGCATGGATGGTTTTGTGGGCGTTATAAAGACACACGTGTGTTTGACTGTGAGGTCAGTGAGTCCGAGAGCTGGTTTAGCAATGGTATACGAACTGTGTGTTCTATACATGATAACAGCTGATACTGTTTCTCACCAAGACTAGAGGAGCAAGCCATCGTCACAGTGAGGCTGGTACTTGCAAAATAGCTCCCTTTGTCTATCATCAATAGCTTCTCCACTAGAAACCCTTTTTTCTGGGCTGATGGCTACTTTTAACTGATGGAAAGAAAACTCAGCTGCTATTACCAAGGCAAATTGCATGCCTGAACCACACACGCCCACTGAGAATGGCCCCAGCAGATCCCGAAGGATAGAGTTCGTCTCTTGGTCGGTGTGATGGCTCACTTGATGTGCTGACCTAGACCCAGGCTGCTGCAAAGGCAAGAGGTACAACACCGTTTTTACCCTTCATAGAGCAGCTGGCCTGCACTCCACAAGAAAAGACAGGTTAACAAGGAAAGAAGTACAGCAGATGTATTAATTAAAATGTTATGTGACAGGGAAGCTTTCAGAAATAAAGAGCAAAGTACCTGGGGAAAACCTTCCTATTTAAGCTTGGATTCCAGAAGGAATGAATAGTCATCTAGGATGCACTGGTATTATAGTGAGAGGAGACCCAGAAGGCTTTTTTGGTCCTCTCTGTAACATTCCTTCTTGCCTGGGCAGAGGATGGGACAACTTTTAGAATGAGAATTTTATAATCTGCTTACTATCACACAAGATAAGTGAGAAAATTCCTTTCTGACATTTCTTTTACACAGGATGAAGGAAGATTTTGAGTCATAACTCTGGGTTTTACACGTAGCTTTCAAGGAGAAGGGTTTCAGTTTCTATGCCCCGCTTTGGGGAAAAGGGAATTCTGGTTTCCATGACCTGCTCGAGATGTAGGAAGGGCAAGATAAGGTTGAAAAGAGACTTTCAAACAGGTATGGTGCAGGCTTGTATTTCCAGCTCTTAGCAAACTGAGGCAGGAAGATTGTTAGTTCAAGGCCAGTCTGGGCTTTATAGTGAGATCCTGTCTCAAATAAATAAAAAGAACATGGAGACAGTAACTGAGAAAATTTGTTTCTAAGACTTCCCAGTGTCTTTCAGCTCAAGCTATTGGGGCGTATCTAACAACTGCCATTTAGTGTATTAAATGTTAATATACCCTAGCCCCCCCCCCCAACTAAGCACTACATTTAAAACCCCTGACTTTGGAAGCCCACAAGATTAGTATAGCATGGCCCACCCCTCACCTCTTGCAGAGACTTCAGCAAAGCTTTTGCATAGGATCCCTTTGTCTTACAGGAAACACCATGGGAGCTGCCTAGAGATCTGAACCTGCTTTGAGTAACATCTGTGTTGCCATGGAAATGGGAGCTTCCTCTCCCATCATCTTGTTCTCACTGAAAATAGTTTGGAGCTGAGGGCCTAGAGATAGCCATTTCCCTCTGCTAACCTGCCAGGACACTTCATCATGTTTTGCAAGACTCTCCTAGGGCCACCTGAAAACTGCCACTGAAAAATCATCCCACGAAATTGGTCCTCAGCCCCTAAACTCACAAATGCCAAAGTGTTTGGGGAACTATATCCAGTGATCCTCTCCTCAGTGGCCAGAAAGGGAGAAGTCTGAGGTTCAAATGATCTCTACTCCTAAGGACTCCTCCTCTTCATTCCAAGCCTCTGTTAGGCTATCCCCTTAGACTCCAGGATGTGCAGTGAGACCTCGCGCTGGTTCAACTGGCTCAGGATGGAAATCCTCCTTTAAGGCCAGATATTTCCAATCAGGACAAATCTGGAAAGCAGTATTTAACATTTCTAGTTATTGCTGAAAAAATCCTTATAGCATCATATAACACCCACCTGGTGTAAGACATCAGTCTGATATGGCTGTCCATTATTACTTATTACTGTCCAGGCGCTTCTGCTCTCTGACACACCTACAGCACTGCAGAGAGCATGCCGAAATGTTTTTCCTCTCAAAAACAGACTAAGCAAAGAGACTGTCTCTGATTGGCTGCTATCAGGAAAGATGGGGAGGAAATTCTTTGCTTATAGTTGAGTTGTTTTTCCCCATAAGTGGAGATGATTAAAGCAGGCCCTGGACCACCTCTTTGAAATCACATAGCACAGCCCAAATCTTACTCTGTGCCTCTCTTAGTGCCCTCTTACTTAGGAGCCCCAATGGTCCTCTGATGGTCATTTGAACACATCAGAACAAGCTAAATAGGCCTGACTTTATTTAATTCCTAATGCATTCCTGCTGATGGTTGGTTAATGATGGTAGTGACTGTTGATTGCAATTCATTGATTTCTTTTTAAACTTGGGCATGCATATGAATTCAATGGCTCTTTTTTTTCTCAAAATGCACATTTGGAATCAAAAAGCCAACTGACAAAGCTCAAGACTCTGTATCTTCTACAAGCTCCAGTTGAGACCCCTGATGCTGACTGACTGGAGACACACACTTAGAGGAGCAAGACTTTGGTTCAGTGCCTTTAAAATCAGCTGCCTCATTTTTTAAAATCATGTTCCCTCTCACTTTCCTCCCTCCTATAAATCTCCTTTCTTCATTTGTACTCTTGTTGATATTATTAATCTTGTCTCGTGCTTATGACATAAAATATTTACATTCCCTGAGGTGATTAGCTTCCTGTGCAGGGCTATCTTTATTCTATATATTTTTCTTTCCCTCCTCCTCTCCCCTCATTCTCAGTCTCCTGGATGCCTTCCCATTTGCAAGACCAGCTATTTCTTTAAATAGCTTGGGGAACTCTTTAAAAAGCCACTAGAATTTGAGGCTCATCCCCAGTCGTTCTGACCAATGAAGCTCAGCCCCAATCAAAGCAAATGAATCCAGTACGCTGTAAAGTCCGAGAAATGGTGAATACTAATCTATGGTAGAGAATAAAGGACGTTAGAGTGTAAGACATTAAAACAGCGATTGTATTGAGACAGTGAACCAGACAGGAGGAAAAGGAGAAGGAGAAAACATGCTTGTAACTGAGAAACTGCTTGTATTCGTGGAATCTCAAGAGCAAGTACAATAGTCAAAGAACAGTGATTTAGGACTGGCCCAGGTAACTGAGGCATCTTATGACAGTGACATCATAGTAAGCAATCTACATGTAAATGAAAGAAACAAAGAGAAGCAGTTCCAAGAGTCTACTCATCTCCACCATGAAAAAAGGTCAAGGAGAACAATGGCAGTTTGAAACACAGAGAAGAATAAAAAGGAAGGACATAAATTATGCATAAAAGTTTCAAGGAGTGTGTGTTCTCCTAGAGCTTACAGGTTCTGCTGACCTATAGCTTCTCCCACTATCTCAGGTCAAGTCAATATATGTCATAAATTATGTACTTACTTGTCTCATTTTTCTCTTTTCAATTATCACTCCTCAAAAGCAACAGGTAAGAGCCTACACTCTGGCAAGAGCCAGGCAGGCGCCTGCCCCTTCAAGAACTGTTTCAGTCTTTCCCATCACACAGGGCATTGGTTTTGACCAAAGCAAGAGTTAGAATCTGAAGTCAAGAGAACCACAGTGAAGCACCAGGGATGACTCC